CATTCATTCATTCATTCATTCATTCATTCATTCATTCATTCATTCATTCATTCATTCATTCATTCATTCATTCATTCATTCATTCATTCATTCATTCATTCTTTCTTTCATTTCGTTCATTTATTTCATTCATTCATTGATTACAATCTCAGTCTTGATTGTAAATGTGATAAAAGCAGTCGACGCTCTCCTTGCGACCATTCAGTGGGATTTGTGAATGTCACCAGAGTTATTTTTAGACCAATTAAACGCTTGACATTGATCGGAAGTTAGGTTCCGAAAATGTCCGCAGAGGAAATTGAACAGTGGTCATTGCAATATTCTTCAATGTTTACTTTCAGGCGGTCGCGCATGTAGTTGGTAACGTTTCAAACAATCGATTAAAATGTGCGGACGTCTCAGGAATTAGACTTTTCGGATAAATTTAGGTTTCTGGGAAACTACCCACCTACCCCTTCCCTAAGCCATCATTTTGCCCTGAGTGAGAAGTAAGTGTTTATGTTAGCCTAGGGGAGGGGTAAGTGGGCAGTTTCCCAGAAACCTAAATTGATGCGACTTTTCTTTAATTTCAGCCTCCAAAAATAACTTAAAGGTCAAATGAACCAAAAATTCGACATTTTTTATTTTAGTTCAATTCTATGAAATATGTTTAATATGAACCGAATAAACATACTATGAAGTTTCAGCTCAATTGAAGCAAGTATCTCCGAGATATTCGCAATTAAAAATTGTTATTTTTCGACCCTTATCTTCGTAGAGCGGTCGGAAAAATTGTTGGTAAAAACAGCTTGTGACGTCAATGTTGGTCAGGTGAAAAAAAGCGGGAAATTCAAAACAGTGTTTTCGAGTCGGCTTGGCGCAGAAATTGTGGTGGTTTGTGTGCGGCCATAAACCTAGAAAGAACAAGCAATTTGTCTTCAAAAGTTGCAAGCTGTGGTTATAACTTTATTATTTAATTTTCTATTACGCGGCCATTTCAGAAACGTTTTCGTGAAGTCTTCGGAAATGCTCGGATCTTTTATCTTTCTATAAAGGCTTGGGAAGAAAAATCTTTACCCAAGTGTCACTTAGGATGTTTTTTTTTAGTGTTTGGTGAAGGTAAAGCGACAAAAGAAAATATTTCAATTTTTTGGTTCATTTGACCTTTAAGTGAAATTCACATCTCCTGGCCAACGCCCTAAGATTCCCTATCTGTCCCATTAATCCCTCTTTCTGAGAGCCCCTCTCCTAATGGCCCTGCTCTAATTGCGACCACTTTTATGGAATGTTTGATTGTGCAAAGCAGCCCTCCTGTCCCAGTAATTAGTGCCCTGAAGATACACCGTTTCAGCCTCCGGGTACGGATAAGCGAACATGTTTACTTCGTAATCTTAAAAAAGGCAACCATTATTTCCCAGAAGTGATAATGGCGTAACCATTCTACCCGGTACAGAGCCGTCATTAAGAGGCGGCGCCCGGGGATTTCCCTCGGCTACTATGAACGTGGTCCCCGGGTACTTTCAAAGGAAAATAGAAGAAAAATAGAACCGAAAAAGACCCCTAGCTGTTTGATTCCCCGCCTACTTGTTGTATTTACCCGGCACCGTAATATCGTAGTGACAACCTTGCGGTAGCTTACCCGTTTCTTCCGGGTAAGAGGCAATCTACCCGTATTTACGGCTACGTGTACGGCTAATTTACCCGTACCAGTACACGGAAACGGTGTATCTTAATTTCTCCGAGAAACAGGTCCCTAGACCTTCCTCAACTATTGTAATCGGCGTTCAAAAAATGTCCGAGGTGGAACGTTTTGGAAGATGATCTGAGCCCGTTCTTATGAAGATTAAATTAATAGTTCCTCTCTATAACTAGCTGAATCTGCTACAAGCGCGTCTGGAGGTGGAACACCAAAACTCGCTGATGTGAAGCGTGTCCGAAGCTTGTTCCCTGAAACTTGGATTTGGTTGGAATACAATGCCAGGTGAGATATGCGTAAGCAAATCCTTGTTTGCATTTTTTGCCTCATTAACGTATAACGCCT